CCCCAAAACCCCAAAACCCCAAAACCCCAGCTCTAAGTCAAGTATTGAGAGCCAATATTAATCCTAAAAGTCCAAAGCTCAGATAAAATCGTTAGAATAAGCTCACTAAGATTTTCAAACCAACTTACTGAAAGTTAGCATTTGAATGAAAAACTTTTGGCTAATTATTTGGGGACTAGACTACACTTTAGTGGTACTCCAAAAGGAGCATAGTGGATTGTGTACTTGTTTAAAAACTGTTACCTACTAAACCTTCTAAGTTGTAATTTCAAATACTCAATGTTTTTATTCTACAATCGCCTTGTTAATATCTTTAATCAAGTAGCTCACAACTTTAGCTGACTCATACTTGTTGAACTCAATTAGCTGATTCTCTATCATAGAGGTATTGATGATAAACTTTTCCTCTTCTTGTTTCCAAATTCCTCTGTATTTGAAGATCTCTGCAACTATGTATCTGATTTTGCTGTCTGTTTTCAGTAGAGTCTTTTGATCTTTACTTATACTCTTACTATTGTAGTAGTTCTTAATCGTGCTATGAATGTTGTCACACAGCTTTCTAGTTGTTGTGATTGGCTTTTCTTGTTGGTTCAAGTCATCCTGTAGCATTTTTTTAATGATTGTATATCAAATTCATCCATAGACATTGATATGACCCTTGAGTTTATAGCCTTTCAGTGTAAATTTCTCTTTAGAAGCCTTGAGGCTTTGTATCAAGAGTTCCAGCTGCCCAAAATCAAACTTGACACTATGGCTTTGGACCATTTTTTCTTTGGAGTTTCCATATATAGATTTGCACCACATATCAAGGATAACTCCATTTGTAACTTTATGTTTTACTAGATAGTCTCTAACAAAGAGAAAGTATTGTTCTTTCTCTGCTTCAGTCATCTTGCTCTTCTTGTTTTTCTCTACTTTGTTCAAGTGTTGGCATACTAAATTCTCAAGAGCATTAATAAATTTCAAAGATTCATTCTCAGATACTTTATTAAAGTGTTTGGGAAGCTTTTCAAGAAGTCCTATCAAAGAACTTCTGAGTGCATGGTCTCTTTTAAAATTTCGATTCATTTCCATCATAATATTCTTTGAGGTAGCGCTGTCAATGGTGGTAGCTTTAGTTGACTTAGAAGCATCACTAAAATTATCAATAAACACTGGATTGTCAGAAAACTCTCTACTCATAGTTTGGTTTATTTCAGGCTTAGTGCTCAAGGATTGCATATCCTTTTCTTTAGTATCTTCAATATTCTCTTTATGCACCTTCGAGTATGTCTGATCTTTGTCGCTTTCCAGAGTCAATTCCAATTCAAGATTCTTGAGATCACCTAGTAAGCATGAAATCTTCCTTTGAGAAATCAACTGTCTACCAGTTTTCTTAGATTCTTCTGTAATACTTTGAATATAGTTCCTTTGAAAGAAGTGGCAATTATTGGAGTAAACTACAGTATTATAAGAGTTTTCGAAGAGACGTCCAAGTTCAAAGAACAGATGCTGCATTCCAAAGATAATCTTGAGCCTTTGTTCAACAGGACTTCTTGCTTCTCCTTGGCGTGTGCTTAAATTCTCACTTTTTGATATAATTTTATCCGATAGCTTCTCTTCTTCTCAAAGTTGCTTTCTGATTTCAGTTAAAATCTTTTGAGAGTGTCTTGTCTTAAATTGAAAGTAAAACAGTACATATTCAATTGTGCCTACATAAAAATAATTAGATATGTCTGCATGAGCAGGGACTTACCTTGGAGACCTTTTATGATATTTTTCACTAAGTTGCTGGTAGCAACTTCTTCATCAATTGGGACTTCTTGATCACATTTGTTAGATTGTGAATTTAGGGGGTGATTATTTGTCAGATGAATTTGGCTAGCCTATAATCAAAGTAAGCAAAAAGCATAAGAATTTACTGATAAATTACATAAAAGAAAGCTTTCTTAATCCTCAACAAAAAATCTTGTAAACACTATATACATTCAGCAGGATAGTGCTTAAGTATACTGAGAAAAAAGCACGAATCTTGAGTAAATAAATTTTGTCAAATACAGAAAGCCTCAAGCCAGGACAAGAATGTTAGGAATATTCACTAATGATAACACTCAAATGATTAATTGCTAACAAAGCTCGGAAATTATTCTACAAGTGTTATGTTACTGTATCGTTTCAGGAGATCCCATATAAGATCTTGAAATAGCAAATGGATTTGTGTAGGTTGACTCTGAACTTATCTATCGAAATGAGAATTTTTTGTTCATCAATCTGCCATATACTGACGGGACTAAGTTAGTTGTTTGAAGCAGAAATGTATGGATATGAGATAACTAAATGGAATCTATTTATGAACTGTATCTTGGCTCTAAATTTATAGACCCTCTAGCCGGTTTCAACTATCCTCTTTGGTAAAGTTGATTCATAATCTCAAAAATTGCGATTGTCACTCGAATTTAGTAAATTATTTGTGATATTTAAGCATTTAAACCGAAGTACAGACCTTAGAAATAAAAGAATATTTTTGAGGAATATAGGTTTTTACAGAAAAGCATTCAGAAGGAGTTAGAAGAAATGCTATTAAGATATGCACAAAGCTCAGGCATTTACATTATAAAATTACCTGTGAAATATTAAAAATTTAACTAGAAATGAAACCATTTTTATCCATCATAAAATCCTGAATACAAAATGAAGCTAGTTCGCATTATTTTCATACTCTTCTTGTCTTATGCTGATAAATTTTGCATTGAAAGAGGATAAGAAAGCTCTTAAAATCTGATAAATCGTCAAACTTTTCATTTCTCTTTACTTACCATAGACTGCCAATTAACACCATCAAAATCAATCACAAATCATGTTGGAGAAGTCATCTTTAATATAATTTTATTAGAAATCTTTATGTTTCATATTTTTAAACCCACTATGGGGTTTTGGGGTTTTGGGGTTTTGGGGTTTTGGGG